AGAACATTGTACAGGGCCTTCCCAGTAGACTGTGCAGGAAAGAAACATTCCATGATGGCTACCACGCGGTCTGACTGGTCGGCAAACGTAATGTTGAGAGGGCTGGCAGAGAAGAGAAGCAAGATGATCTTGGCGTTCCCGCTGTTGGCAAGAACATCCAGAAGAATTTCCTTCTGGTGTCCGGGAAGCTCCATATCAGGACGATCTTTTCCCTCCATTTCAACAGCTTGACCAGTGCCCAGAGCTACAAACACCAATTCCGTATCTTTCACTATTGCAGGCACGGCAGCTTTGTTATACTTTGTACAAACAGTGCTGTCGTTGCACACTTTTCCGTGTTTGGGGTTGGGGTAAATATCCTTAATTGCACCAAACGCAGATGTGGAGAAAGACTTGTCTTGATGAGGGGGGTAGTCACCGTTCACCTGTGTTAAGTCGTTACTCATTGGTCCTAACACTGCGACTTTGCTGTACTCTCCTTTCTTCAAGGGTAAAATACCACCTTTATTTTTTAACAGTACGAAAGACTTCATCGCGGCTGTGACAGCCACCTGTTGATGCTCGGTAGATTCGATCTGATCCATGCTCAGCTTGGCGTAAGGGTTATCTTTTACCGGGTCAAACTCCCCGAGCCTCATGCGAGTGTAAAACAGTGGTTTGACTCTTTCCCTCACCAAATTCTCCGTCAATTTCCCCTGATTAATAGCATCTATCATAGACATATAAACTGGGTTTGCGAGATTGTTTGAAAGTTCTAGATTTGTACCTGCGTTAACACAGGCCGCCACAGTATCCACTCTATTGTGACGATATTTATGAGCCCACATGATATTTTCTATCGCAGCTTGGTCACTGACGACATAGCCCTTGAAGTTCCATTCTGTGCGCAGGATGTCTGTAAGCAGTTTTTTGTTAGCGCATGTTGGGACACCGTTTAGTCTGTTGTAGCTGCACATGACGCTGTAGGTACCGGCCTCTACACATTTCTTGAAGGCGGGCAGAAACGTCATCCTCCAGTCGGTGTCAGAGACGATAGCGTCAAAGGAGAATCTTGACACTGGTATGTTTTCGGGCCCTCCATGAACGGCAAAATGCTTGCATCCAGCACTGGTCATTATGAACCTCGAGTTGTTGCCTTGGATACCCTTGACAAAATTCTCTGCCAGAACACCGGTCAGGTAAGGGTCCTCGCCGTATGTCTCCTGATTCCTGCCCCATCTTGGGTCTCTCAAGATATTGATGACCGGGCTGAAGCAACTCATACCAGTGTGAGTGGCAAAGATACCCCTTTTGGCAAAATCGTTATATTTGGCTCGCACTTCTTGACCTGTCGCTCGGGCAACATTGTACAAAATTTCACGGCTGAAAGTGGCCGCCAAACCAATAGCTTGAGGAAAGCCCGTTGCATTCTCTATTGCCGCCCCATCACCCCGCAAACATTCTGTGTCCCACTGATATGGCCCAATGCCCAATCTCGGAATAGCCGGGGCTGGACCTCCAAGATCCCCAGCTCCACCCCTGGACATCTGTACCTGAATCTCTTCAAGGGTCAGTCTGGACACGAGATCATCCACGCGCTTATCCCACGGCAAGCTGGTGTTCCGGAACGGGAAGTCATTGATTTGTGCCTGGTGCTGTGCATTGTTCGTGGGGTGTCCTGTACTAGAGTGACTAACTCTTGAGCTCGTGACTCCATGGTTTGACGCAACAATGGCTAGTACAAGGACGGTTATACCATGCCGTAGTTTCCCCAATATCATGGTCGTTTTTATTAAGGAATCTGTTTCAAAGAAGAAAGATACAAAGACGGTATTTGTTTGAGCACAATAAAAATATACAGCGACCCGTTTCAAACTTTGATTGAGCGCAAAGAATTTACAATACAGAAGCAATGCACGAAATATTTTCTCAAGACCATACTACATTCTCTCACAACGTAAATATTTTTGGTGAATCTTCAAGTAATAGAACATCTACAATTATACAGGTAAAAATATTATAGATTTAGCCACTCAACGTACCGGCCAGTCCCAACTGTTACACAATTAAAAATAGATCAACAGATGTTGGCCACGAAGCTGAACAGGTTGCTCTCCGTCACTTTCTCTCAGACGTGTTTACGGTGCGTTCACTTGTAAAACTGGAACAACTTTTCCAATACCAGTACAAAATCAATGCATATCATATATTTTTGAGAAGTTAAACTTTTCTATTTCACTACTTTTCATGTGAAAGTATCTAGTCTTAATTGACTACGTAAAGGATTCCTCAACACACAAAAACAGGAAAAAATACTGGAAACAACTTTTCCTTTCCGAGATCCTCCATCTCAGCGTTAAACTACTCTCAAAGAATGACAATTTTTAGGCAACACACATCATGATGAAAATTGAAGAATGAAAATAATTGTATTTCGAGTCGTTGTTACAGGCATGTCACAGAGTAGTTAGGATACAGAAAAACTAGTAACCTTAATCTTCATGGAAGTTCATCTGTTTGGTTGGGGGGAGGGGTTGTTTCTTAAGTTCCATTTTTAGATAACCTTTTTTAATGGACTCTCTGGCCACTGTAGGTCTGTCTATATTAGTCACATTCACTAGACATTTCGCAACCGACATCCGTATAGAGGCTAGGCGCTTCTCAGTCGCACGCAGCAGAGCGAAGTTCGATTCCCGAGAGGGAAAACATTTTATATTTTGTCATTTTTTTCAGTGTTTTAGTTTTATTTAGCGATCGCTGTGTCGCTGGAGTAGTTCGTCATGTAACTGGTCTTTGTCTTTTTTAAGGTTTTAAAGCCTACTTTTGGCTTTAAATTGTTGTTCATGATGTTGCAGTTAATGTGCATTTCTTGTTCATTTTCAATGCAAAGTGTCACATCATGATCTGCGAATTTCTGGTGTTCTCTGTCTATCGAAATTCCCTTACTGAACGTTCGTGTTTTGAATATTCCTGCGATTGCTGCTGTGAATAGGTCAGGTGAAATGGGGTCTTCGTGTCTCACTCTCTTTTCGATGGGAAACTTTTCTGACACGTCGTTATCAAGACGGATTTGAGCTTACGCCTCTCGATAAAGGTTCATCAATAATTGTTCATGTTTATTTTATGAGAGCTTCAAAAATTACAAAGTGTTCGACGAGTCAAATACTTTTTCGTGATCAATAAAACCAACGCCATAACTGTAGATTGTATCCATGACATTTTTCTATTACTTGATTTAATTATTATAAATGTTTTGTTGCCAAATTGTTGTTTTTCTCTGGTGCTGGTTATAGTCTAGCACCCTTTCTCTTACTTACTTGTCCTTACTTGTCCACTGTGTTGGGGTCACTGCAGTCGGAACATGTCCATCTCTGCTCTCCCCCTCCCCTCTTCAGGATCCATCCCAGAGTCTGTCTACTTATAGTTTCCATCATGATTTGGTTGCAGATCCGTCGGACTGGTCCTCACAGATGGCTGTGTTTCCCCTCTCCTCTTTGGATCCCCTTCTCCTTCAGTCTCCCTAGAGTGTGGGAACCGCTATCCGCCCTATTCTTCCTCAAATTTTCCCTTACAGCGGTTAGGACGGTTGGTGGGTCCTGTGTCAAATTCCCTCCCACTTTTGCTTCTCCAGCTAGTTTGTCTGATCTCTTCGTATCTGTAGTACTCTTGTAAACAGTTTGTAATTATTGGACAGTAAAGTTATTGATCTGTACTTCTTTATGTCTCTTCTGTCTCCATTTTTTAAAAACAAAATTATTTTTTGTGCTTCTTGCCAACATTCAGATAGTATTCGTGTGTGTAAAATTGTATAAAATGCTTTGGTTGTAAACGTTATAGCTAGTTATTCCTTCCACTTTTAGTACATTATCATGAGTTACTCCGTCATTGCAAGGCACTTTTACTTTTTTCTTTTTTTTTTTCAAATCCAGTTCGATTTCTTCTTCTGGAAGAGGCACTTTTAAAAATTTGTTTTCAGTACTGTTGTCGGCGTAGTCACCGAAGTTCGGAACATCATTTAAAAAAATAAAATTCTGCACATACACCTAGTATCTTCTTTCCATCTGAGGTTACTCCATCTGATGACTTAACTGTGCTTGGGATTTTCTTTTGCCACCCACGTTTGTGTATTTCTTAAGGTTACCTTGCCGCTCTTTTACTTTTTGTTCAGTCCTTTCCTTCCTCTACCTTATGTCTCTTTTTCTACGAATTTCCTTCACCATTTCGTTCAACTCAGCCTCTTCAATCTTTTCTTCATCTGTTTTGTGCTCTCGTTTGTGTATCTCTTTCCTCCTCAAATCAAGGTTGTCTTTTTTTCTTATCTTTTCTTGCTTTTTGTGCTAGCCTTGCTATTGGTTCTAAAATATGTTCTACTTCTTCTTTTACTATGTTTTGCAGTACATCAATGAAAGCTGATTTTTCCCCAAGAACTCTGAATCTATACAAATGCTGACATATATATTGTCTGGGGGTGTCATCTCTGACTCAGTGGTTGACGTGTAATGGCCCTCTATCCCTCATGGTCGCGAGCTGCTGTTGCAGATTCTGCTATATCCAAGCCAGTCCATGTTCTTATGTTGTCCATCCACGTTATTATTTGCCTTCCTCTTGCTCTCCTGCCCCACATCTTTCCTTCAAGCACCTCTTTCACAATGTTCACAGTGGTCTCGTGTCTTTTTAAGTGGCCATAGTTTTGTATATTTCTATATTTTTTTCCTTTAGCATGGTTTGTCTTGTGTGTAGAATCTGACACACCTCATTGTTTGTCTTTTTTTTCAACTTATTATAGGCATTCTATGGTAGTACAACATCTCATACGCATTTATTTTGTTTTCTTCTTTCCTTGTCAAAGTCCAGGTCTGTGCGCCATAGATGAATATGAGGAAGAAGTAGCATTTCAGCATTTTCCTTCTAAAAGTGAGAGATAGTAACAGGATTGTAATAATATATGATATATAATATGCGTGTCCTCATGTAGATTTTAAAAAATAATCTAGGGATTTTGCACGCTCGTGTCTCAAAGCTAAGAATGTTTTATTTTCTGAAAAAAATAAGTAAATAAGTATATAACTTTTTATCTGTATAGCTTTAGGTTCAAGTTTCTTCAAAATGTAAGTTTAGTGGAATAATAGCATACGTACCAACAACTGTGCAAAATGAAATGCTGTGACATAGTGATAATGTGCGGGCAACTGCACGACTTTAAATAGTTGACGCAAACAAGAACTGTTTTGGGGCCAAAAGCTAGATGAAGTTATTGTATTTGTTGTACTTTTGTCTGCTGTATGCCACTGCAACTGATAACTTAAAGTGGTAGAATAAACCTGTTGACATTAGCTGGCACTCTGCAAGGACAAGTGCTTTTTACAATTGGGACTGGGGTCGACACTTTGGTTTTAAAAAAGTTCCAGCACTAATGCTTATCGCGCTGCATACAAAGATTACTGAGGAACGGAAATGATGAATCAGCGTAACATTATCAAATAAATGTCGATGAAGGTCGACGATTTTTGTTTGTCCGTATATTCCTGAGTAGGCCAGGTACCAAAGTGTTTACCTGCACATGGAGGGGTATGTTGTTGTTTTCATAGAAGTGGTATACCCCCCTCCCGCCCAAAAGAACAGCAGCTTTAATGGGAGGAGGGGCAGGATGGTTTGACCCTGCATGTCAGTGCGAACCCAGACTAAGTGGGATGCAGTACCCCAGCAAGAAAATAGAGGGATAGGCCTACTCGATTTAAAGATAAAGTTTTCCCACCACGCAATATACTAAGTCTTTCTGCCTGCAGAGGTGAATAACTTAACCGTATGTCTTCAATCACTAACGCCTCTTCGAAGGAATGTCAATTAGCCAAACATTTAACGAAACAAAAGAAAAAGTGTTTAAACGTTGAGCGGTATTAAAGTGACGTCTTTATCTCTGCTTCCCCCCCCCCCCCCCTTTTTTTTTTTCTTAAATCCAAAGTCACATGTTTTGTAACTACAGTGTCACAAAGTAGGACTGGATGTAAAGTTACATGTTTTTTTTTATTATTTTTGCTATGGTTTTTATTTCAGGGTTGAAAGGGTCCTTTATACTTCGATAAAAACTTTCGTGTACGGGCAAAAGTTGGAATGAACGCAACATATAGAAATTATACTGCATTGTGCCAAGGCACTCAAATAATGATATTTCCACCTAAAACACCCCATTTTCAAGACCTTTACCTATGGATTCCGCATGTGTAAAACCAAAGATCATAGTCACCCGCTGTATTGGCTGCATCGTTCAACATTTTAATACACGTAAGAATAGCCAAAAATTTCAGTTTGCATTGCCATTTATAAATAAGATCAATTCCACTTGTATTGATCCCCATGGAGAGATTTTGTTTACGACAGTGTTCACATGTTTACGTATATATAAATACATACAATAATACATGGATGGTGATTACTTAACCCACAGTCTCATAATGATACAGACAGTCAACATCTCAAGTGTACAGCGCCCTACTTTTGAGATAGGGTTAGCCCATCTTGTTCAAGGACACACCCTAGTGACCACCTACCCAAACGCCAACAAATTGATGACCTCTATGATCCCTGTAAAGGTATAGCCATGCTACATGAGCTGTGACGAAATGAGTCACCCAGATAGCGCAAATTAGGGCACCACAGATAGCTCACTTTATTCCATTTGTCTTGGCTGTTTAAGAAAACCGAAGCACAAGGACGAGGAAACTGTAATTTTGCCCTGGGCAAAGGCATAGGATGAAAACACAGAATTCATAATTTAAAAAACCAATAGCCTCCTATCTATCAGTGGCACTATCTTACTGTAAGTCTTACTCAATAAATCTAATAGATTGTATTAGTTAATCAAAGGGATATTTTATATTATATTCTACCAAATTCAGAGACAATTGCTAAGCACACTTTATTTTTCACAACTTTTATTTAGTGGTCGTCCACAAGCATTAATCAATTGCAAACACACCACACAGAAAGAGATATATATATATATATATAAACAGATAGACAGACAGACAGACACACACAGACAGACAGACAGACAGACAGACAGACAGACAGATAGACAGACAGACAGACAGACAGACAGACAGACAGACAGACAGACAGACAGACAGACATATAGAAAGAAGTATAAGAAAAATAGATGAAAGTCACAGGTAGGGACGCTATTCAAGAGAATAAATAAGTATAGGATTGATAGGAAAAACGTGAGCTCTGTTAACACATCCAATTAGGAGCAGACGGAAGGAACACAAATTGTTGGGCATTTATTATATTTTTTCCTATTGATCATATAGTCTATAAATATAGTATAATAAAATTTTAATAGAGAGCTAGTGCTGTCATGAAAACAGAACACGTAAAAACATTTTACACTTACAAAAGAAGGCTCAGTTTACAAACTATGTTCACTTGTTGACTCCCCTTTAAAGTTGTTGCATCACCCTCCTCCTTGTTACGTTCTAATCTGCAAAACTATGATTATAAATAGCATAAGTGCTTCTTTAATCTCTGTCGTTTAATAGATCTAATGATAACCAGAGCCTCCAATATAAAAACTAAAGCAAATTAACAAATTCACACACAGACACAAACACACACACACACACACACACACACACACACACACACACACACACACACACACACACACACACACACACACACATGTATACAATTATACAAAAGAACGTGAAATTGAAAAATGTTACTTTTCAAGAGTGATAGAGTTTGTGATGGTGAACGTTCCTCGGAGGACGTTGGACGGCACCTGTTTTTTCTGATGTGGCTGTTGACCACCACAGAACAGACTCAACCCGCCAGCTTTAATTACCCATTTCCCATCTTGCCAAAACGCCATGGACTCCGAGAATATTGAAAAACGGCGGGAGACAGTTTGCATGGAGGTTATGAGAATCCGGTCAAAGTAGGCCAACTGCAGCTGTGGTACAGGCAAGGACTTGTCATTCCAGCTAATGTAACATTGAAGAACTTCTTCGCCATCAACGTTACCCACATTTGTAATGTCCACCTGCACTTCCAGATTATCTCCTGCCTTGATTGTGGTGTTGTAGATCAGATTAGAGAAATTGAACTGGGTGTAAGAGAGGCCATAGCCGAACGGGTACAAGGGATCGCCTCTGAAGTAGCGGTACGTCCTACCCTCCATGGAATAGTTGACCATGGGTGGAATCTGTGTACTGTACAGGGGCCAGGTATTGGGCAGTCTGCCTGCCGGGGAAGAATACGGCCCGGTGTTGGTGAGAACATTGTACAGGGCCTTCCCAGTAGACTGTGCGGGAAAGAAACATTCCATGATGGCTATCACGCGGTCTGACTGGTCGGCAAACGTAATGTTGAGAGGACTGCCAGAGAAGAGAAGCAAGATGATCTTGGCGTCACCGCTGTTGTCTAGAACATCCAAAAGAAGTTCCTTCTGGTGTCCAGCAAGCTCGACATCTGGTCTATCATGTCCCTCGCGCTCTACAGCTTGACCAGTTCCCAGAGCAACAAACACCAGTTCCGTATCTTTGACTATTGGAGGCACAGCAGCCTTGTTGTACTGTGTACACGGCGTGCTGTCGTTGCACACTTGTCCGTATTTGGCGTTGGGGTAGAGAGACCTCACTGCGTCCAAAGGAGTTGTGGAAAACGATCGATCTTGAAAAGGTTGGTACTCACCAATCTGTTGTTCAAAGTCATTTGCCATAGGTCCTATGATTGCGACTTTGCTGAACTCTCCTTTTTGCAAGGGTAAAATGCTCCCCTGGTTTTTTAACAGCACAAAAGACTTCATGGCGGCTGTAACAGCCAGCTGTTGGTGTTCGGCGGATTCGACCTGATCCATTCCCAGCTGGGCGTACGGGTTATCTTTTACAGGGTCAAACTCTCCTAGCCTCATGCGTGTGAAAAACAGTGGTTTTATTCTTTCCCTCACCAAATCCTCCGACAGTTTTCTCTGTTGAATAGCATCTATCATAGACAGATAAACCGGCCTGGGAATGTCGTTTGAAAGTTCCAGATTCATGCCTGCGTTAATGCAGGTCGCCACAGTATCCACGCTGTTGTTGCAATATTTGTGTGTCAAGATGACATTTTCGATGGCACCTTGGTCGCTAACGACATAGCCCTTGAAGTTCCATTCTGTACGCAGGATGTCTGTGAGTAGCTTTTTGTTGGCGCACGCAGGGACGCCGTTCACTTTGTTGAAGCTGCACATGACGCTGTAGGTACCGGCCTCTACACATTTCTTGAAGGCGGGCAGAAACGTCATCCTCCAGTCTGTGTCAGAGACGATAGCGTCAAAGGAGAATCTTGACACTGGTATATTTTCTGGCCCTCCATGAACGTCAAAATGTTTGCATCCAGCGCTGGTCATTATGAACCTCGAGTCGTTGCCTTGGATACCCTTGACAAAATTCTCTGCCAGAATGCCGGTCATGTAAGGATCCTCGCCGTATGTCTCCTGATTCCTACCCCACCTGGGATCTCTCAAGATGTTGATGACCGGACTGAAGCAACTGGCGCTCGAGTGGGTGGCGAAGATGCCCCTTTTGACAAAATCATTGTACTTGGCTCTCACTTCTTGACCTGTCGCTCTGGCAACTTTGTGCAGAATTTCACGGCTAAAGGTGGCTGCTAAACCAATAGCCTGAGGAAAGCCCGTTGCATTCTCTACCGCAAACACGTCACCTCGCAAACATTCTGTGTCCCACTGATAAGCCCCAATGCCCAATCTCGGAATAGCCGGGGCTGGACCTCCAAGCTCTCCAGCTCCACCTCTGGCCATCTGCACCTGAATCTCTTCCAGGGTCAGTCTGGACACGAGATCATCCACGCGCTCATTCCACGGCAAGCTGGTGTTCCGGAACGGGAAATCGCCGAATTGTCTCTGGTCCTCTTCTATGTACATGTGCCTTACTCTGTTAAAATGGCTACGTTGATCAAATCTTGAGCTCGAGACTCCATGGTTTGACACATCAATGGCTAGTATAAGGATACTTATACTATACAGTATCCTTGACAACATAGCCATCGTTTTTATTACGGGAATCGCCAATGGAGTCTGCTTGTAAAAAGAAAAATCCAAAAGAAGGGTTAAATTTTGTTTCAGCACAACATTAATAAATGGCAATAAGTTTTTAGCGTTAACTAATTGAAAAAAAAACAGTAAAAATTAGTGCAAGGAAACTTACTCCATATCCATGCTCCATTCTCTCAGAAGAGACTATTTCTATGAGAACAACAAGCATAAAACTACCATTAAGGAAAAATGCAGGAAAACGGCTAAATAGATAGGGTGTTTTAGGTGGAAATATCATTATTTGAGTGCCTTGGCACAATGCAGTATAATTTCTATATGTTGCGTTCATTCTCTTAACGTTTTCCAGGGATTCTGTTGGAGCTTTTCTCGTCTTCATTCCTCACTGGTATAAGTTATCCTGCTAGTCTCAGCGATACTGAGGTCTGTCCTCTTAGAAATGTTGTCCTTCCACTTCTTTTCGCTATGTTTCTGCCCCCCCCCCCCAACCCTTGGCATTGCGCTTGGCGACATGGTCTTTGATAGTCCACCCCTCCTTAATTGTTTACTTGGTCAAAAATTTAATCTAATCATTTTCACAATTTATTTTCTTCTCCTGCCAGTTCATCTACGTCATCTACAAATTTTAGGTTGCTGATTGGTCTTCCATTTATGCTGACAATGGACTCGTGACCGCTTAATCGTCCATAACGAGCTCCAAAAAGATGTTGAGTAAAGTACAGAAGAGCAAACAATCATTGGCTAACTCCTACTGTTATGTGAAACCAGCTGTCTTTGGCATCGTTGTTGTAGCAGCTTACAGCTCTTGAAGCTTTTAAGCATAGCAACTCTGGGAACTGACATTAAATCCTAACTTTTGTGCAACTTGAGATGAACCAACACTGTTGGCCGTGAAGCTGGACATATCCTACTTCTTTTCTTTCTCCCTGTTTTTTATTGTCTATCTGTCTTGCTTCTTCCATGCACTACATGACTGCTATTACGTCTATGCGCTTCTCTTTACTTAAACTCAAAACTCAAACTTAAACTCAAACTCAAACTCAAGCTGGAAATGTTGCACTGGGTCTCATCCTAGGTATGTTTGCTGCGTGTTCACAAGCAAAAAAAAAGACAAATTTGCGCTGTTTGGCTTGCCTTATGTCATTTTAGCTTTTGGCAGACTATAAGTGCATCAAACATTGGTGAAAACTCAACCTATTTCCTTTTCGTTACCACTATCATATGATTCCCACTCTGAGAATTCTATTATCATAACTATGTTTCTTTCTGACCAAGCCTTTGCAAAATAATTAATGAAAACGTAAACGTATTATGTTACTCATTTTGACGAGTTTCCATGAGTGATACAAATTCCTATTTCACAAAAAGATTACAGTTTACCACCTTGACTCACGCAATACGTCCTTGTGCTTTACTGATATAAAAAAAACTCACTATTCTGCAGGTCAAAAATTAAGAAACTGCATATAGAATCCTTTTTTTTCATGTGTAATGACAAAAACAAAATTCGGTTGAAAAACATTATGGAAACCAACTGTAAATAAAATTTATATTAGAGTTTTATATTTCATGTGTGGGGTGTAGGAATTCGTCTCACCCGAAGTACACTTAAAAGACAACTCGATGTATGATATAAAACAGTTCCTTTGCTTTTCTTTGGGTTGTACAGAAACTACTTAAATGCTAGATGCTGAGAACTCAATTCTCCATGATCGATATCCGAGCACCGATGTTGAACGTCTTCGCGTCGATCTTCTATTCATCTAATATTATACGTTAATGTCTCAAAGCTTTGAGAGTATTCTTTTCTTAAAAAGATAAGAGTTTATACATTTTCGTCACTCTGGCTTAGGTGTATGTAAACGGTTTCTTTTAGATAAGAATAAGTAGAATAAGAACATACGTACCAACAATTGCACAAACGTAAATCCTGCGACAAAATGATACTGTCCTGTGACTACTCGATATTAAGTAGCTAATATGAATAGAAACTGTATATAGGCCAACCAATTAGGTGATATATCTCATGCATGCTCTGGTAAATTTATCCTGGAGCACTTAGTCCGTCTTCTGGGTGCTACTGCAACTGATAACTTAAAATGGTAAATTACAACCTTTGGACATAACCTGAGTGTGTACAAGGACAAGTGGTCTTCAGAGTTTGGATTGCATGGTACTGACTTCTGTACTGTACAGTGAAAAAAACGAACATCAATACAAAACGCGTTACATATAAAGATAACACAAGAAAACAGCAGCTGAATCAGTTTAACGTTATCATATAACTACCAATCAAGGTCGATAATGATTGTTTGTAGGTGCATTCCAGACCATGCAGGTTTTAGAAGAAAAAAAATTCATCTGCACACCAAGGAATGTTAAGTTTTGCCCCACCTAAACAAAATAAAATCATCTTACTTTGGGGCATTTGGGAGGCAGGATGCGTCAGTCCTCTATGTCAAGACCAATCCGAGCTAACTGGGATAAAACGCCCCAGTAGAAAGACATACTCAATAAAAAAGACTTCCCCATTCAGAAAGTGAACTCACTCATATGTGTTGCGGCGTAGAGACTTCCCCACAGACACCTGCACTATATCATGAGGCCAAATATTTAATATACAAACATAAATGCGTATTTTTATCTCTTTACTACCCACTCTCCTCCCAAATGCAAAGTCACATAAGTTTTCATTACAACCCCCAGCTCGCTGTAACTTTACATATTTTTTTATTATTTAAAACTATTTTCCCATTATCTTTGATATAACAATATGTTTAGTCTTATCGCTTTGACGTTTATCAAAGATTAAGTGTTTGCAGTCCAATTCTGTGTATCTAAAAGTTGGAATGAACTCGAAATATAGAAAATAAACCACATTGCACATAGGTGCCCAAATATTGCCAACCGAAATACTTCAAAATTAAGACCTCTGCCTACGGACTAATAATCAGTCAAGACTAACTTGTAGTTTTTATGCCTGCACAGTTAACAGCCAGTAAGTTAGACCTTCCTTAGCAGTTACTGTAAAATGAATTACTTCTTTAATGCCTAAAGTGTTTGGCCAAGCTGCATGTGCAACAGCGAGCTGAGGCGACCACACAGCGACAAAAGAAGTGTTACTGATCGCCCTCTCTGCACCCTTTGGTTGATTGCGTAAAGAGAACCTCCTAATGCGAGCGCCGTAAAACCCTATACCATACCATACCGAACCTCCTAAACGCGTGATAACGCTCATTTTGTGCAAGGGTAAAGTAAGATAAACACGCAGAACCAACAATGGGAAAGAAAAGACGTAGGCCATTCAAGTGGCGCCCCCCAAACAACCGTCTCTGCTTCACAAAATAAACAAATCTTTAGATTTGAGGCAAGCGATCTTTTTTATTTGTTTTATTTATCCTACCAAATTTTTCTTAAGAGTTTTCATGTGTTTGGCACATTTCAGCTTGGGGCGACATAATCATGGCAAAAGCATGCAGATTGTTTGTTGTTAGTTTTTTGTTTTGTTTTTGTTTGTTTTTTTAGAGAGTAAGGTGAAATGATATAGGTTTAACGGCCCTATCAACACTGTTAGGTAATTTAAAAGGCGGGACCTCCGAGTTTAACGTCCATCTCCGAAAGGACCTAGCCAAGTAGGAAATTCGTTTCAATTGCATTTCACAAACAACCTCGGACCGAGTTGAGGCTCAAACCTTCAAACCCGGTAAGAGAGTAAGGTCAGAGAACTATTGCACTATTTCATGTACGACGATAAACATAATATAACATTACAAATCATGTGACACAGAAGTCCTCTCGGTTCACCTAAAGCACACTCAAATCAAAGACAATCTATCAAAATCTCTGTGTTCGTTCGTTTTTCTACCTATTTATTGTCAATGATAAGAGGAGAAAAAGATGGGTTTTTTCCCACACGTTCTACAAGTATTGCATACCTTTGGGTCACTGCAAAGATTTTTGTGCGCTAAGCTGATTATTTGAGAATACTGATTGATACGGAATTCCAATAAACGTAACCAATCCTTCTTTGTATATTACAAAACTACGTCGAAAGTGCATCTTTTTTTATAATGGCGTTATGTTTCTTCAACTCTAGGTAGCAATCGAAGAATCTGTTTCCAAGTGCTCTCAAGTTACTGACTTAAACAGCCTTCGACTGCAGCTAGAGAATCAAGCACAATTTGAGAACTTTCAGTCTCGTTTTGCCCTATGCATTGATACAGCATTTGGACCGCTTTGTTTGTTTTGGATTCTCTTGTTGGCGTTTGTTTTTGTTTGTTGTTGTTGTTGGGTTTTTTTCGCGTTTTCTTAAAATTCTTTCCCGTATCTTTTGTCTCGTTCGACTGAAGTGTGTATCTAACTTGAACAGCTTAAACAAGGGGTCCCTGATACACAATTTAAGCTCTGGCCTTGAATGAAACAATGAGTCATTAGAAATGCCTGCACCTTTTCACCACTCGTCTGTTCACGAGTTCTTGGAGCAGATTCCATTATCACTATTGGCCATAGGGGGCACATAACTTGTGCACGGTTTCTTTTCTAGCATGGTTTGTTTCCAAAATGATGAATGATAAAAAGAAGCCGGTTGGGGGTCCAGATACACGTAAACGTACACACGTGTCAGCGGCATTATTTGCCACATTTGCAAATAAACAGTGTGACTTTTATTCGGACATGAAAACTTTCAGTATAGTCCAAAAAAAAGTTCTTAGAAGAACAGAAACGACAGGAAAGTATTTTGTTTGATCGGTTTGTTTGTTGTTTTGGGGTTTTGTTTTGTGTTTTGTTGCGGGTTTTATTTCTATTTTGTTTTTGTTTTGGTTTGGGGTTGGGTGTTTTTGTTGTTTGTTTTGGGGGGGGGGTGCTTTTGTTCTATTCGTTTGTTTCTTTGTTGTTTCAATTTTGCTTTTGTTTTTGGATTACACAAAGAAATTCGTTGAGAACCACCACGGTGGCCTTTAGTATGGGGTGGGGGCAGAAAGGGATGGCTGTAGTGGCGGGGGGGGGGAGGGGGGGTGAGTAAAGGTGGCGGACGAAACATAAAAGACACGGATTCTAAGGAAACAT